GAGGAATATTTATGGGCACATTTACCATCAACATTCAGTGTGGCCCAGAGGGTGGGAGACAGGGAAATAAACCTTTCATTTATGCTGATGAGGAATCATATTTGTTATTTTAAGGCAAATAAGCACTTTTTTGCTCTTGTTTATTTATGATTTTCTCTGGATATGAACAGATCTGATTACATGAATACACTTGCAAAAATAAATCCTAAAAAGTATGCCACTTAAAAATGTAGTTGCTTAGAAAATGAAACAGTTTAATCAGCTTTCTTGTGAAATCTCTGAAACACAGCAGCTCATCTCACGTGCATCAGATGTACCATCCTGCATAGAACACTAATCTGAAATAATTATCACGAGTAAAACCATATAATTAAGTCTTTCAGAGTCACTGGTCTAAATCTTCCGTCGAAATGTCCTAAACTGAAAAAAACCTGCTCTGACAGGGAAGAAAGCAGTTAATTGTGGATACGGAATAAGTCGCCTGCAGTGACAAATGATTAATCACAGTCTAAAGTGTGAAACATGTGAGAGAAAATGTAATTAGACTTCCATTTCACCATGGTAAACGAATCTATAGATTTCATGTTAGATAAGAAAAACATTACAGAGGTCTTGTACGCTTTGCTATACACAACTAGATCAAAATGTGACCTTCATTAAAAACGTATTCACACCATCTTTGCAGATGGCTTGCTTGCCAGATGCAAAATGTCCTATTAAAACAATTATTTAAAAAATTGTTTTTTACAAAGTTTATAACCTTGTCTTTTTTCTGTGTTTGCTCATTTGCTAGCTGTATTAGCTCACAGAACAAACAATTTAGGTTCATTTCAAAGTAGCTGAGGCCAGACTGATTATGCATAACTCTCCAATTACTCTCCCTCCCTTTCCTAATCCCTGTTTCTGAGCTTACCCTCTCTGCCCCTCTTCTATCAAGCCTCTATGCCCTCCTCCTTCCCTGGAACCAAAGCCCTGGGTCCGCAGTCCGGAGGTAGATCATTTTAATTCTGCTTCATGAATCTTTTTCAAAAAGGACCTGAGACCCGGAGACCCCAGAACCAGTGACCGCAGGCTGAACCCAGACCAGCCAGTCGGGCTCCGCGCACTCGTAAACACAGCCATCATCTCACATGCTCCCTTTTCCACACCACACTTTTGTTCCCTCCCAATCGGGCTCAGAGAGTATTTGATGTGGCCCACTAAAGTACGTGCCCCCGAATATCTGAATGACACACTTGACCCATGCTGCTGTTCAGTACCTCTATGGTGAATTCATGGAGAGAAGAGGAAAAAACTGTCAAATAATTGACCAAATTCTTTACGTTCTGATGTAATACCCGGCTTTCACTAGACAAGCTCAATGGGCTCTTTCTTCAAACCACTGAGCTGTAAATGGGTCAATGACATACAAGTTTGTCAACAATAAAGCAAAAGACCAAATATAGTTGAAAACAGATGTGGCAAATTCTTAGAAATGTACTATTTGTATTCACTTTGGTTTTATATGGGTTTGCTTTTATAGCATTTTCAGTTTAAATTGAAAGACTCTTAATCTTAAAATGTCATGTGGTGTGACCGTGAATGAAAGTGTACAATTAACCATTATTAATATTTTTAAAAAATCAATTCAAAAATATAATTTTGTTTTTAGAAGTTGCAGCACATTACATTTTAACATCTGACCTAACCTTGACTTGTCTGAAAAAAAAACAAATGATATGGTATTTTAAAAGACTTGTTGACAAAATCCAGATTTACTTTGTCACAAAAATATCAAAACATTACAAAAAAAAAATATTATTATATATACGCACCTTGGACCAAAAATTTATCCTCCTCTGAGAAAAACAAAATGAAGCCCAAACCCAAATGAGATTAACAAATTAAGTTATTCATCATCTTTTTAAGATTCTGGTAGCCTGCAAAAAGCAATTATGAGAACCTAACATCACATAGTTCATCTGTGGACCAAAATACAACGTGCAGCGTGTGCTGGCAAGACTCTCTAGAAGATCAAAACGACCATCGCCTGGTTTCCAGCATCCCAATAAATGGCACTTGGCTTAAGGCTTGCCAGTGAAAATGGGATTTACAGTAATAGTGTCCCTAGGTGGAAATGGATTAGACTTGAGCAGCTACCTAGGGATGATCAAATGAGCAATTTCTTCTATAGATGGTCACCATAGCAATGACCTTTACACATGCCACTGATGGCAACCAGTACAGCATATTTTAATAAAAATGACAAGACATTTTTTTGGATATCCTTTTCCCTATAAGCTTAAAGGAGTAGTTCACTTTCAAATAAAAAAATCCTGATAATTTACTCACCCCCATGTCATCCAAGATGTCCATGTCTTTCTTTTTTTCAGTCGAAAAGAAATTAAGGTTTTTGAGGAAAACACATCAAGTTTTCTCCATTTAATGGACTTCAATGGCAACCAACGGTTTGAAGGTCCAAATGTCAGTTTTAATGCAGCTTCAAAGACTCGACACGATCCCAGCCGAGAAATAAGGGTCTTATCTAGAAAACAATCGGTCATTTTCAAAAAAAAAAAAAAAAAAAAAATACTTTTTAACCACAAATCCTATTTTAGGTTTACAAGTAGGAGGACCATTCAAAGTTATTGTATGTTGAATGACACATATTTATATGTACTATTTGTGTCAGTTTATTGTTTAAAATGGTCCTTACGTGTGCATATCCTGGATATTTAACGATGTCACGCGTGACCTTTCCAACGTGATGACGTAATGCGTGGCACATCGATCTCAGAGATGGTACAAGACGGGCATTTGTGGTTAAAAAGTATATAATTTTTATTTTATTTTAGAAAATGGCCGATTGTTTCGCTAGATAAGACCCTTATTCCTCGATTGGGATCGTGTCGAGCCTTTGAAGCTGTATTGAAACTGACATTTTTTGGACCTTCAAACTGTTGGTTGCCATTGAAGTCCATTATATGGAGAAAAATCCTGGAATGTTTTCCTCAAAAACCTTAATTTCTTTTCGACTGAAGAAAGACATGGACATCTTGGATGACATGGGGGTGAGTAAATTATCAGGAAATTTTTATTTGAAAGTTAACTACTTTAAAAGGCACCTCTCTGGTTTACTATGATAACATAGTGCAAGCTCTGAAAATATTAGTCAATAGACATCCGAAGAATTTTTCATGTAGGAAAAGTCCCATACTGCCATTCCAGGAACCTTAAAAATTACATTGCTGAATAATTGTAAGACGCATTTTACCTAACCTTTCTAGCCTTGCAATCTGCAGCTTTACTCCCCACGCTAAGGCCTTGTTGAAAGTGAGAATGAAATCTCCAAATAAAGCTGATGAGTTCTGATGAGGACTGACACAAGCAAAGCAGAGCACCCACTGGAACGGCCCTGGAGCATGGGGTCATTCTTTATCCCCCTCTGGGGCAGCTCGTTCACACTATCACACCTGTCTGTCAAAAGAAAGACTTACAAGCCTCAGCAAAGGGAACAAGAGAAGAGAGAAGGTTTAGCTATGCAATGTACAAGTAGAGAGAAATAAAAGAACAGAACTGTGGACAACAGGCAGAAATTGGGTTAGGTTTAACCTCATGTCCTGCTTTGACTTCATGACCAACATGATTTTAAGACTGAACTAAAACCTCCAAGGAACCAAAGCAATTTTCTTCACACAACTGGCAAATTAATTTGCTTAAATCACCTCTCCCTCTTTCTCTCTTAATAAAAGAAAAGAAGAAAAACGAGTGTAGCCTACTGACTAAACCATAGAATGGACTATCCAAAACATGGGATACATTTGCGTTAGATATCATATACCACGTCATAAAAAAATAAAAAATAATTAATTAATTTATCACTTTAAAATAATAAATAATTAAAAATTAATTAATTATAATGACAGAAAGATCCTGAAAGTTTCTTACACAGTTTGAACGACAGACCATAATTTAATCCGCAAAAATGACAATAACAGCTATTTGGCGGAATGGCTATGGGTTAAATATTTGAGAAATTCGTTTTCTAAACACTTTTTACATGCTTAATATGAAATATGGTTCATCAAATTGATGGATCAACCAAAATAAACCAGGATTTGCGTTAATCATGAACCAACAACTCAAATTCACAACACATGTCACGTGTAAGTTAAGGCCTAACTCTTCACGCCGCCACAGCTGTAACGATTAGCCGATTATTCAACAAGTTTGTGTGAGATTATGCATATGAAAACCTTAAAACAATCCGTCCGCCAGACGTGCCTACCTTGGCCGGCTCAGGTGTTCAGGGTGGGCTGGAAATTATTTGGATATCATTTGAATTCCAACATCGTCTCTGTCGTTTAACTGCTTGATGATTGTTGATTTGTTAATTTACAGCGGCACCTTGTGTTAAATAGAGGTAAAGCACTTAAGGGCGTCGAAGGAAACGCTTCATTTTGAATATATTTCAAATAATAATAATCTGAAAATTAAAAAAAAAACGCATTTCACCTTCGTGATAGTAGGCTTATTTATAAGTAAATAATAATAATAATAATTTAAAACTATAAGGAAAAAGCAGTGTTTATTTACAATCAAGCACAAAAGCAGAACAGGCCAGAGAATGTGTATTCTTGCATGTTATCGTCAAGTTCATTTCCATGTAGCCTATGGAGCGACATGAAAATAAAATTACACATTCATTTACAACAGGTTTGAGACTCATCTTAAAACATCTCTTCTCTTTGTTCATAATACTAAAGCGGCTTTTAAACTAAGTTCACCCAAATATAAAAATTCTGGCATCATTTACTCAATTACACAATTGGAGATATCATGTTCAAGCACTTCTGTTGCTTACAAAACAATGAAAATGGTTGTTGACCAGGGACAGCTGCTCAAAAACAGCATTTAACATTTAGGTAAATCGCTTATAGGTAAATAGGAGTTTGGAATGACATGAGGGTGCGCAAATGATGGCAGGAGTTTCATGTTTGTGTAAACTATCCTTTTAATAGAGTTCATTTAGATTAATTCTGCGTAATTAATCAAAGGCTTTCAGCTTTATTGAATTCCTAGAAAGTCTGAAACAATAATAAATACATTTGCTTTATGCAGAGTCGAAATGTGACAATATCTGTGTATGTGAAGTTCTGTGTGTGAGTGCTTTATATGCTCAACCTTAAATGCATTGCAATCACAGTCCCATGGCAGTACACATGCTGACATTTCAACAATCACAGAGTATGCAGAGTTCCGTCAAGTTCCATAATGGCAATGGACTTTAATAGCCAGGTCAGTTCGTCTCTAGGGTAACATTAGTTTGACAGTAGATGCCAGATGAATACCAGAAGGCCCAGAAGGAAGCTGAAGCCCGTGGTGTTTCTGGTGGCGTGTCCTGCCACATTGCAGTCATCAGAGTAGCAGCAGTGAACTTTGACCCCTGGAGCTCTGTAGCCCTGGCTGTTAGCCTGGCTGCAGAAGGATTTGTATGAGCACGACTTCATTACGCCACCTAACAAAGACAAGACCGGTATGAGAGCGTGATTACATATTAATGTGCTTTGATCCTCCTCATAAGGAAGCTGTAGACCTCCTGCTATTTCTAAGCTTGTGCCCAGACAGAGCAGTCTGTCTTCCTTAAACACCACCCTGATCCAGTGCCTCCCCTTAAAACACACGCACAGTCGTTAATGGTTTTTCTAAAGATTTATCCCGCTGTGATTCATCACCTACATCCAAGGAAATAAAAAAATGTTCTCGCCCAGTTTCCTCTCATCCATCCATGCAGGAAGATTAACTATTAACTATGTACCCATTAAACTTACTCCCATGTCCCCGAACAACAGCACACGCATCTGAGTAGCTCGGACACGTTTTGGAGCCCTGGCGATTACAGTCTTCATCTGTAGAGCCCATGCAGGTGTAGCACCTCAGCGCCTCACCTAAAGAAAGACAAAGGGGAGGAATGCAGCTGAATATGAATTTTCCTTAACAAAAAAAAGGCCTAAAGTGTAAGTGCTGATATATACATTTTTATGACTTTTCTTAATCAGTATTTTTGTCTTGTTTTCCAGTAAAAAAATGAAATAGCATTTTTTACTTGAAAATAAAATGTATTATTATTATTAACAAATAATTTATTTAGATTTTGTATTGCTCATTTTATTTAATGTGTATTTATTTGTTAATAGGGTAATAAAAATTATTCAAGATACATTCTCTGAAAACAAGTCTATACATTTCTTTTGTTTTAAGGGTTTTATATTAAAATGTAAAATCATTTATTTAAAATAAAAAGAATAAATTACAATTTTAAAATTGATTAGATACCTCCACACCGTTTTTCTCCTTTGTAACACTATTTTTGTATTTCTTTTTCGACACTTTAATGATCAAAATTGTCCACGTGAACTATGGCTCAGTGCAATGCATGCATGTACACGAATGCCTATAGGCCACGGCTCCAACAATCAAGGCAAATTTCAATCTCCCAGGTGCCATAATAATTTGCATTTGACTAAACAAAGCCTCATATATTTTATTTTTAGTGTGGAGAAGGGAAAATTACACTACTTTACAATGACATACACAGATCTCAATTTCCACCATGAAGCAGCTTTAAGACTGAAGCAAATATGGCATCAACATGAGATCAATAAAAAGAGATAAACATTTTTTATCTAAAATCCCTGCTCTATGAAGTCTATAAACAGAACATTGACATTTCATCCTAGACAGATCTTTGCTTTTGCAAACCCAAGGGAAGTCAACAGAAGTCACAGCAGAGAAACATGTCAGTGTTTTTAACTGTCTTGTAAATGCCCAACAGTATATGTTATGGCTAAGCCTTTTTCATGTGCTTCTTTCTTATCATCTCCTAAAAGTGCTTTTTTTTTAACAAACATCCTTTCAAGTTCAAACCAACAACATCAGACACGCAAGCTCTATGCCAGCATGACTGTAACACCTTCAAAAACAGACATTGCTTTTTAAATCTGCTATGTGTGTTTTAGCACTGCTAGTTCACCCTAAAGACATCCTTCTGCTGCATCTGAGTCACTCTCTTTGATAGCAAAACCTTGAGTTCACAGGATAGACTCAAACTTATTTACTGGCAGGTTATTCGGGCTGTTTGGAATGAACTTTTAAAGTGCTTCTTGTTGAGTTGGTCTCAGTCTCAGAGTCTCAGTCCCTGTTGAATCCTGTACCTGGACTAATCACTAAAGGTATTATTCGTTGTCCTTTAAAAAGTAAACGCACACACATATGAACATTTGAGATAAATCACTGGTTTGGAACTAATGCTGTCTCCTTTATTTTGCCTACACCGAAAACCCTCCGACAGAGGTTAAGAATAAAGTTTGTACATATCATCTGCACACAAAATCCATAACAAGAAAGAACAAGCATACTGTATGTCTCACCTCAGCTTTCACTTGTCAAATATATCCAGACAGTTTCGTATTACAGCACATGTTGGGATATTTCAGCTGTCATTTCTCAAATATACCGGGATAGTTTTGGACTACAATAAAACTATTTTGTTTGTTGGGAGAGAATTTTTTTATAAAATGAATTGCAAGAAAATGTCCAATTATACAGTATCTGAGCCAAATTACCTCCATATACATTTAATATTAGCTTCAATGTGTAATTTTAGTTTAAAAAAAAAGTTTCAAAAAAGCAGCTTTTACTATACTCAATTAACACTTAGGTCTAAACATTTCGCAGCAGATGCATGTAAAGTTTCACTGAAGAATTGTGTTTTCCACCATTACTACTGAAAACGCTGCTGTTTTGGACAGTTCTAAATGCTAAAGTGATTTATTCACTCTTTTTTGGTCGAGCATCCCAAGTAAAATTACGCCACCAGACTTACAAACTCTTTTAATAGCCCTTGATCTGTTTAAGTAATTGATTTGCAACAATTATTTTTTATTAATTTTATTAATTAGTCCTTTAACACCGTCCTCAAGGCCAACAAGATATTCGCAGGCAAAAGGACACTTCAAAAAGGAGGAAATTGGATAATAATTAAAAATGATAAAACTGACAGAGAAGTCTAGAGTAAAAAGCTAATTAGGATTTGTGAGTGTGGCACACATATAGTAACTGAGAGGACACAAGCATAAAACTCTTAAAAAGTAGAAAAGTAAAAACGAGTACTCACTGTGAGCAGCGAGGAGGATGAGGCCCAGGCCCAGCAGCAGGGAGAAGTGGACCGCTCTCATGTCGCTGGTGGTCTATGGCTGTCAGGTTAGCACGATGAAAAGCAGGTTGTTTGCTCTTAAAACCCCTGAGCTTAAGCCCTGCTTTTGGAGAGCTAATACTCAACAGCAGTGAGGACACAAAGATTACCAGCCTTGTCCACTGAGGCCTGTGCTTCTGTCTTAAGATCTGAATGGATTCTCACCATCTTGACTAATCAGAGATGAGGGATCAGTGACTGTGCTCCACCCATACATTATGGGTGTGATACTGCCTCCAGATTTCATTCAGCTAATGCCTCCATGCACAGTGAGTTTATCAGTGACCAGACTCCCTTTGTGACATAGCAGACAGTGATCACAGCCAATCAAACAGTTGATGCAAAGGCTATTTGAATACATGCATGTGGTAAGGGTAACCAAAATTAAACCTTTACACCAAATGTGTAAGTAGATCAGCTTATAATTATATAACCTTCTTCCATTTTTATAACTTCTATTTTTCTTAGTTGTTCTTACAACTATCCTACAACTACTTCCTGTTTTGTATTACTTCTTTTATTACTACACTATAAAAAATTATTGTTGGCGTAACTTAAAAAAGTAAGTTACCTGGTCGCCTTCAAATTTTGAGTTCACTGAGGATACTGGGGATATTGGTTTAATCAACAGAAAAGCAAAATATTATGTTACCTGAACCACATTAATAAAGTATAATTGAAAAAAGAAAAAAAGGTTGATAAATCAATAATTATAAATATAAAGAATATTAATATATATATATATATATATATATATATATATATATATATATGTATATATATATATATACACTCACCGGCCACTTTATTAGGTACCCCATGCTAGTAACGGGTTGGACCCCCTTTTGCCTTCAGAACTGCCTCAATTCTTCGTGGCATAGATTCAACAAGGTGCTGGAAGCATTCCTCAGGGAGTTTGGTCCATATTGACATGATGGCATCACACAGTTGCCGCAGATTTGTCGGCTGCACATCCATGATGCGAATCTCCCGTTCCACCACATCCCAAAGATGCTCTATTGGGTTGAGATCTGGTGACTGTGGAGGCCATTTTAGTACAGTGAACTCATTGTCATGTTCAAGAAACCAATTTGAAATGATTAGAGCTTTGTGACATGGTGGAAGTAGCCATCAGAGGATGGGTACATGGTGGCCATAAAGGGATGGACATGGTCAGAAACAATGCTCAGGTAGGCCGTGGCATTTAAACGATGCCCAATTGGCACTAAGGGGCCTAAAGTGTGCCAGGAAAACATCCCCCACACCATTACACCACCACCACCAGCCTGCACAGTGGTAACAAGGCATGATGGTTCCATGTTCTCATTCTGTTTACGCCAAATTCTGACTCTAACATCTGAATGTCTCAACAGAAATCGAGACTCATCAGACCAGGCAACATTTTTCCAGTCTTCAACTGTTCAATTTTTGTGAGCTCTTGCAAATTGTAGCCTCTTTTTCCTATTTGTAGTGGAGATGAGTGGTACCCGGTGGAGTCTTCTGCTGTTGTAGCCCATCCGCCTCAAGGTTGTGCGTGTTGTGGCTTCACAAATGCTTTGCTGCATACCTCGGTTGTAACGAGTGGTTATTTCAGTCACTGTTGCCCTTCTATCAGCTCGAACCAGTCTGGCCATTCTCCTCTGACCTCTGGCATCAACAAGGCATTACCGCCCACAGAACTGCCGCTCACTGGATGTTTTTTCTTTTTCGGACCATTCTCTGTAAATCCTAGAGATGGTTGTGCGTGAAAATCCCAGTAGATTAGCAGTTTCTGAAATACTCAGACCAGCCCTTCTGGCACCAACAATCATGCCACGTTCAAAGTCACTCAAATCAACTTTCTTCCCCATACTGATGCTCGGTTTGAACTGCAGGAGATTGTCTTGACCATGTCTACATGTCTAAATGCACTGAGTTGCCGCCATGTGATTGGCTGCTTAGAAATTAAGTGTTAACGAGCAGTTGGACAGGTGTACCTAATAAAGTGGCCGGTGAGTGTATATATATATATATATATATATTTGCTATATACTGTATGTTTACTACATCAACTATACCATTAAGCATCGGTTTCTTTCCATGTTCCAAAATTATTTTCATTGTTTGCGTTTATTCTTTCTTCTTCCTTGATTTTTAATAAATTCTAATTCTGAATTCTAATTCTACTACTTTCATAAATTTCTGATCCTTCAGAAATCATTCTAATATGCTGATTTAATGCTCAATTTCAATTTCATTGTCATAATTATTATCAATGTTGAAATATTTCTTGATTTGTTATGTTTTTAAAAGAAGTCTCTTATGCTCATCAAGGCTTCATGACGAGTTATAATGCTGAAAATGCAGATATGCATCACAGGAATAAATTACATTTTAAAATATATTACCATAGAAAACAGTTATTTTAAATTGTCATAATATTTAACATTACTGTTTTTATCAAATAAATGCAGCCTTGGTGAGCATAAGAGACTTTTAAAAACATACAAAATCTTACCGATCCCAAACTTTTGAACTGCAGTGTATATATAAATAACATAATTTTGTTTACTTAAAAAATCAACAATGTTTTAACAAAACAAAAAAAAGTAAGGTCATAAAGAATATAAATATATAATGTATATATATATATATATATATATATATATATATATATATATATATATACACAAACACACACACACAGGCTATATATATTTACCATATTAGCTATACCATTAAGCATCGGTTTCTTTCCATGTTTTAAAATTATTTTCATTGTTTGCGTTTATTCTTTCTTCTTCCTTGATTTTTCATAAATTCTACTTCTACTTTTTTTCCCCCTCACAGACAGTTTGGTTCTGTGCCAGCATGTAATTGCCACTAATATAGCCTGTCTGGTGTGATTTTAAGACCCATCTGCCAGCTAACTAATCCATCTTTTTATGCACATACGTAGGTTCATGTCAGCAAGATTCATTGTTTGTTAATTAACAACATTATTGCTTTTTTAAAATGCCCTAGTGGGAGGCTAAAAACATCTGCTAAATGAATAAATGTAAATGTAATTATTATTGCATCAAACATCATGCCTTTACATTTTGTATAATTACTTTATTTCTATGCAATTTGGGTCAGATAAAGAGAAGAGCTGTATTGCCATCTTTTATTGCACTTTGTAAGCATGTCCTGTATAAATGACAGAGCTTCTGCTTTGTGAAACATCAGCTATAGCAGGACTGAGACGAAACCATTCAGATTAAATTAGCTCAGAACCACTGACAGTAACAAGTGGGTTCTTTTATATATCAAAATAAAATCCAAAAATAAAATCAAACATCAGTGTTGCTAGAAGACAACGAAACAAATGAACAACAAGTATCTACAAAGATACACAAGGAAGCAGATCAAGCTAACAGTATCAAAATCTGCAGTTGTTTTCCTTTACTATATTCAAGTCATTTTTATATTTACAAAACCGTCAAAGCCTACAACATGCATTTTATAATCATGATCATGAATACCACTTTGTGACAACTGAATGATTAATTCATCCGTTTTATATTATATATATATATTCTCTCTTGTCATTTCTGTTTTCAAGTTAAGAAGAGGGTACAACAGGAATCAGTTTAACAGTCGACTCCATCAGCGGTTGTCATGGCATCGACACTCATAACTTCAGACTCACTATAACACATACTCTCTGTCTGTGTGTGTGTGTGTGTGTGTGTGTGTCTGTCTCTGTCTGTGTGTGTGTGTGTGCGTGTGTGTGTGTGTGTGTGTGTGTGTGTGTGTGTGTGTGTGTGTGTGTGTGTGTGTGTGTGTGTGTGTGTGTGTGTGTGTGTGTGTGTGTGTGTGTGTGTGTGTGTGTGTATGTGTGTGTGCGCGTGTGATACAGACTCTCAAAAAAGTCTCTACTAATAGGAAGTACTTTCACAAGACCCTCAACACAGGTAAGTTGGTGTACATTAATACATCAAAATGAAGAGAAAATAATTACAGCCAGAATCTAGTGTGTCCTCCCAGTCGTAGGGACTCCAGTTTATGTGAAGACGTCAGTAGTGTGAGATCCTTTTGTTTAATTGGTTCATTGTTCTGTCCATTAGAAAGAGGAAAAACAATAACGAACCCTTTAGTCTTGCTCCTCTGTCTTTACTCTATTGTCCAGTCATTGTTCTTGTGTCTCTTTGTGGTTTGGACAGAACTCTGTCGATTGGACGGCTAGCTCTTCCCCATCTTGGCAATCAATTCATCACAAATTTTGGTCAGTTCCTCAATCTCTTTGTTCTGTAAAAAGATAAAACATCATGTCAACATCTGAATGTTGGTAAAAAAAAAAAGAAGTCTCTTATTTCACCACGGCTGCATTTATTTGAAAAGAAAATACAGAAAATGCAATCTGAAAATTCAGATATGCATCACAGGAATAAATTGCATTTTAGAAAACAGTTATTTTAAATTGTCATAATATTTAACAATATTATTGTGTTTTTTAACCAAATAAATACAACCTTGGTGAGCATAAGAGACTTCTTTTAAAAACATAAAAAATATATGTTTTTATAAAAAATAAAATAATGAGCAAACCTTTTGTTCCAGTGTGCGCTCCAGTGAGTCCACCTTCATCTGTTCTTTTCTCAGACTGGCCTGATGCGCTGCCTGCTCCTGCTTGGCTTTGGCTCTCACCTGAGAGATGTCAGAGTTCGCCCTGCGGGTGGCACACGGTCAAAGACATGCCGTCATCTCGTATTTCTAAGGACTCTTAAAGAACACTGAGTGCACAGTTTAAGTCTAACCCATAATTTGCCTAACAGTTGTTGTTCCAGGCAACAGAATTCCCGAACAAAGCAAAGCATGTTAAAAACAAATGCATGGATGGACTACCTGTGAAAGGTCTGTACTTACTTATCCAGTTTCTCCTCAGCGTGGATCTTCAAGGCCTGGTAGCGCTGCTCCTCCTTACGGACACGAGACAGGTACTCCTGCGCACATTTCTTCAGCACATCCTCATTCTGATGGAAAAACAAAGAATTGTAGTGAGTAAATTACTGATAATAATGATTAATAATGTTAACCAACCACCATAGTAATTTAGGCATTGTTTTAGATAGCTTGCATTCAGTTTGGCTCCATTTTTGGTAATGTAATGACCACAATCTCTTATAAAATCAAGTCCCGACCTACATTTTTCTCACTGAATATTCTGTTTTGCTCGGAAATACATCACAATACAGAACTGCATAGTAATGCACAATGTCTTTAACCTTTAACAATCTCAGTGCAAAATGACTTACTTTGCGGAAGCCTTCCAAAACATCTTTCATCTTCTCGTAGCGCCGGAACAAGTCAGCAAGAGATTTCTCCACAGAGTTGAGATCAGCTAAAGCCTGGTCTTTCTCCAGGATCAACTGTTGGATAGTGTGATGAGACAAAGTCTTCTCCCTCTGTTCACCCTCTGAGTCATACACACAAACACAAAAAAAAACATTATAGGTATATTATACGATACTCAACCACACAATACACTCAAACAGATGTGCAAATCTGCTTTTGGATGAGGCAGAGGTTAATTTTACGGTCCTCTGAGTATTTCAGATGTGATGTTATACTCTACACCACTATGTCTACATCTTTGATAATGACAAATGAAAATGCAGATTTCGACCCTGCATCTTTGTGATGCATGCAGACAACACACACGCACGCACACACACACTCAATGATGGGCAAACCACTGAAACACGGTGAGAGATGAGAAGACCTTTCAAAGTCTTACTTAGCACAGGACTACTGAATGATTCATTTTAATGAACTTGATAAAAAAAAACTGATTCACTGTTTAAAGGGATAGTTCACCCCAAAAATGAACATTTTGTCATCAGTTACTCACCCAAGTTGTTCCAAACCTGTATGAGTTTCTTTCTTCTGTTGAACACAAAATACTATATTTTAAAGAGTGTTTGTAATTTTCTTTTGTGTTCAACAGAAGAAAGAAACTCATACAGGTTTGGAACAACATGAGGGTAAGTAAATGATGACACAATTTTCATTTTTGGGTGAACTATCCCTTTAAACTGATTCATCGCTCAGTTGTGTGTCTGGAACTAAATTCCCGAACTTTTATTGGAGTTAAATATATATTAGTCTATCACATGTTTCTAATCAATTATATAAAACGTATTCTATTTTTATTCGTTTAGTTTGAATGTACGCTACCATTTAAAAGTTTAGGGTGAGTATTGGTTTTTTTTTCTAAAAGAAATGAATACTGTACCTTTATTCAGCAAGGAAAAATAAATTGATCAAATACAATAGATTCAAAAGATTTATATTTCAAATAAATGCTTTTCTTTTGAACTTTCTAAAAAAAAAAAAAAAAAAAAATCACAACACAAAAATATTTAGCAACTGTTTTCAACTGTGATGATAATAATAAGACATGTTTTTTTTTCTAAATGGTAGCTTGATTGTACTTAGGCTACTTTAAATGTAGTGTATGTAAATGTACTTTAGAAAAGTACAGTATCAAAGTAGCTTCCCCAACACTGATGAGCTGGCGATGGAAGAAGTTTGAGAATAGGCCTACAAAAAGACCTGAAGAGCAAAAACAGATGATGCTAAAAGGAGAGACACAATATCAGGCTATAGAAAGAGAAAACTCTCCTTGTCCGTCACTATCAGATGTGGTGGATTCAACACAAACAATGAAAATAAAGAGTTGCTGTTACTTACCAGGCATGCCTGAGTGATTTATCAAATATTTATGGGGGACAGAGGGAGCAAAACAGAAAGAAGGGACGGCATTAAGTCAAGCCAGCAGGGTGGGACACGTGAGCGAGAGAAAAGCGCGTCTCAAACATGGGAGGATTTTGAAATGAATGAAAGTGTCATGGAAGAAAGGTGATGAAAGCCAGAAAAGTGGCCAAGAAAACTGAACCAAGGAAAAATAAATTATTCAGAAGGTACATAATAGAAAATAGTGAAAATAAAATCAAGTGGAATATTAAGGATGGTATTTTATCACGAAGAATGAAAAAAGGTAATGAAAATATTTTTTTCTTTGTGCAAAGAGAGAAAAGCATGTCAAGGTTAAACCAAGATCCCAATCTGAATATGTAAGAATGCACACAGCCTATAGTATTTACATAGACGTAAATACTGAAGAGGAAAAGAAATTAGATTAATTTGTCAGTGAGTGGGTGAGGCCTGTTTAAGCAGAAGCATGTTTAAGTTTTCTGAGTAATGTGGAATATACAGGGAGACATGAAGGTTTGTGCTTATAACTGACCAGTGTTTGGGTCCGTAGGCACGAAAGATTTGTCTGCAAATTAAATGAGAAATTAACAAAAATGTGTTGGATATGTGTGTTGGTGTGGCATGACTGGGAAAGGGCTGTGGCTGTTCATTTATAGCATTGTAGCACAAGAAAAGCACAGATAAATAGGACTGAAAAAGATCAATTAGAAATCCCCAGGAGAAGATGAAATCATATTTAGCAATCAAGACTCACCAATCATCTCTGCAATGGTCTTTTCATACTCCATAACTATCCTCCTGTGAAGAATAAGCAAAAATCAGATCAGATCCTTTTAAGAATATTGTTTCCCATAAAAAGCTCTAAATAAATCAAATAAGCTGTGTGAATTTTCACAAATAAATGTATTAAAAATGCATATATATCTGTAGTGTAAAAAAGATCCTGTATTCAGAGGAATAAAATAGGACTGATGTACACCACCGTTCAAAAGTTTGGGGTCAGTAAGATTATTTTAAAAGAATTGAACACTTCTATGCAGCAAGGAAGAATACAATTGGACAAAAGTGACAGTAAAGACTTGTACATTGTTACAAAAAAATGTAACTTCAAATAAATGCTATTCTTTTGAACAAAAATGTCTCATGGTTTGCATAAACATATCAAGCAGCAACTGTTTTCAACATTGATGAGAAGAAGAAACATATCTTAATGCACCAAATCAGCATATTAGAATGATTTCTGAAGGATCATGTGACACTGAAGACTGGAGTAATGATGCTGAAAATTCAGCTTTGCCATCCAAGGAATAAATTACATTTTAAAATATAATAAAATAGAAAACAGTTATTTTAAACTGTAATAATAGTACACAATATTACAGTTATTATTGTATTTTTGATCAAATAAATACAACCTGTTAGCATAAGAGACTTCTTTTAAATAAACGTAAAAAAAATTCGACCCCAGACTTTTGAACTGTATAGCGTAATCCAGAAACCATATGTCCTAGAGTCCAATTAAACCGGGATCTGTTTCAGATGATCCAATCACAAGTGGCTAGCATTAAATACAAGTGTAAGCAGGATCCTAAATGTTTTGTGATCTGATCACTGAAACTACATATAGATGCAGAAAATGGGGTTGGGCTTCATCATACAGGTACTTTCGCTAAAAGAACTCAAAATGTATAGAAGGGGGAAATGTGTGCCATTTTTTGCACTTTCTTTCTGTTTCTTTCTGTTCTCTTTGTGATTTACCAACATGCAGTAACACACTGACATAGTGAGTGACACATGTATTCACGAAGTCAGAGACCCTCCCCTCGAAATCCGATCACAAGTGGTCAGTTTGAGACACATTACAACCAGATCTATCTTGGCTGACCACTTGTGATCGGATCACCCCAGACGGATGTTAATACCAGATGTAAACAGGATTTAGAACTGCATTTGAAAGTGTCCCAAATTGGATGTCAAACAATCCTAATTAGTGTTTTTTTTTTCTGTTTGCACGTATGCCGAAAGATCCGCTCTTTCCCAGATGTCAGTAAAAAACGTACGTAAATGTAAATGCAACTTAACAGCACTGACAACAATACATGCTGAGGTGACAATGACATTAAATACTTCTAAACAAAGTTGATTACATGAAAGGTCAGGAAATTGGCCTTTGTTATGTCATGTGTTTGACTACTAGAATTCGGCTGAAAGAAAAGCAGGTTGCCGGCACAGTAAGCAGATGGATTAGCTACGTCTTTCCTTAGCCTCTTAGGCCTTCCTTATCCTGAGCCCAATCAGGCTAATGCACTAAGCTCCATTCTTATCCACACTAACAAGGCCCAGTCCAGCTGGCTGGAATCCTCAACCCTCCCCGATTACCTTGTTCACTTTACCCCTTGAAAACAAAAGGACAGCTTTAAAACATGTCCTGTTCTTTCAGCTGTCTTGTGAATTAGACAACACTGAATTTTCTTTAATAGTGCAATGAGGTGATAAAAAGCTTCAACAATGCTGAACATGAACTGTGTAAAATGACTATCAACTGATTTAACCTCTCATTTAAAAGCTTCTAAAGCAAAAACTAATATAAACCCCCTTAAAATGGCAGTTAATTGAGTGACAAGACAGATACACGTGTTTTCCAAATGGTTTAAAAAACAAAACTACATTATCTTTCATCTATTCCCCCTCTTCTCCTGCCCCCACATCTGACGCATTAAGGCCTTCTTTAATTGGCTTTCTACTTACGCTAGACTTCAAAAAACAACAGGAAACAGATAAACAGATTGAGAGGTGGACTGAGGTTGATGCAGTGCTGTAAGCAGAGCCTTGCCAGGTTTAATGCACGGGGATTTTAAATTATGACCTGAGGGGTGTCATATCAGCTACGGAACATAAGTAGTGAAAGGACGTTTTGGACACTTATTGATTGGAAAAGTATTGAGAGGACAGGAAGTGATGGGAGAATGAAATGGTCGGGAAATGACGCTTCACTCGTCACATCTCACAAGGGCACAGGAATCTTTGTTCTGTGAGAACACCCACCTCATCTCCTCCACCTCCCGCCTACTCTCCTCATATTTTCTCTTCCATTCCATGGCTTCTTTCTCTTTCAAAACAACCTGAAATAAGAATAGCATAACTTCACACAAATGAGCCTTTCACAATTGAAATGGTTAAATCAGTGTCATTCTGATGTTTCAAACTAAAAATCTTCTTATATTAAATAATAATATTCGGCAAGTTCGGCGAGTTATGAGAATGAAACCGGTTTGAAAAAAAAAATCTGTGGAGAAGTAGCGACAGATCTTTTCGTCCTTGTTGTGAAGTACAGCCGAGTGTAATGGTTTAGGGACTTGGTTCTATCCATCGTTTTCATTTAAAGCTGACTTTAAATCTTCTGAAGTACAGAAAACATACTCTCTCATCACTCCAGTTAATATACATGAACTTCCCTCAGACTCTGAAACCAAGCACAGCATTATATGACTGTACAGAGCTCATGAATATTCAATAACATGATGTGTGCATTCAAACAGTTTATGATTTGTTGTCATCTTAGCAGAGCCTAATTTCACACTTTTTAACTTTAACAATTCAGATTTTTTTTATACAATGTGAAATGAAAACACTAAGATTTTCCTCCCACAATAGTCTATTTATTGTGGAGTGGCGTCATGCAATGGGTGAGCATATACCTCTTCTCGGGCGATGCCCAGAGAGTGGTCCAAGTCATGTGGCAGATGAGGGCTTTCCCCTTCAATGTATGATGCTCGGGAATAGAGGGAGCTCTTCGAAACGCCACTGTCCCCCGGTGAGGCCATTTCTCTCTGATGCCAAGGAGAGAGTTGTGAAGAAACCGTTAAAAAACCTGTGAGTATATTTCTGTACAAGAATGTTAATTTCACACATCCTGGAGGGAAGCAGTGCATCAGCTACAGGTTCTACTCAGCAAAGCCATAATGCCATGGAGAGCAGGCTCTTTGTTTGGGTTTCAAAAGCCTCCAGCAGTTTGCGAAAGGCCTGCTGCATTCAGCTGGGATGTTATGATTGACAATCCCCAATGTGAGATGGGTGTGAAAAGCTGTTTGTCATGAAAAGATAGCGGCTTTGACCGAATCCGGGTCAGGAAGTGAATGCTGTCAGATGAGGACTGCAGGAGTACAGGTTGTTTGGTAATTGGAGATAAAAGTTGATGATCCATTTTGAATCAAAGACAAATAAATATCCTTAAAATAAATAAAACTAAAGCATGTATCTGGGTAGTTCATGCAACCAGCCACTAACAAGCTCAAAAGTCTGTATTGGACAATTAAAAAAGAAACACGCTATTTTTTTATTATTATGTCCTATGGGAAAAGACTATACAAATTTCCACTTTCAAATATGAATCTACTGTAATTTAATTTTAATATTACAATAAAATGTTTATAAATGTACCATTTTTAGATGGTAATTGTATCCTCTTTATAGCCAGTGATGGGGTGTTGTTAGTGAATAATCATCATGTTTAGCCCTTAAACCCACTTGCTGATTAAAGCTGATTAATTCTTCCTAGCAGAGCTGGATTAGGAGATTAATTGAGTTTGACTCTTATACGAGGTAGGGGGCCGCGTGTTAGGGTACAAATACAGAATGCCCATCACATAATGTTTGGTCTGAAAGAAGCATTTATGTCTAATACCATTTATTGAGAATTATTGGGCTGCACTCAGATCATGGAGGGGGGCACATAGTACGGTACATACGGTACAACACACAAATTGAGATTACAAACCTGAAACGAAATTTTGAAAATTAAAATCAAAGTCGGAGTATTGATCTTGTGGTCTTGGATCTCTTATGACTACATAAATTAAACATGGTCTGGAGGGGCCTAGTTTTGGTATTGACTCCAACTCATCGATTTTCCCAATAATCAAATTCTGCACTGCATAATCTAATCTATAGCAACTCCTTGAATGTGTGATCCAGCCCAAGAGAAAAGCATGTTGGTCATAACCAATTATAAACACAGTCAGCAGAGGGTGAGAAATGAGGCAGAGGAATAACTCTAAATGTAAATGAGAAACAAAATCATTCTAATTGAATATTGACAAGACAGAGTTCAGTAGAGCAGTGGGGTTGTGATGTAATCCTGTCATCTTCAGAGCAGCTGTATATGTATTTGCATGAATGATAAATTATCACTAACGACAAGAAAAGGTATTTAAAAAAAGAGAACACCCTGGAGAATGTGCTGAGGCAGCATGTGAAATGTGTCTGTGGGACTATTTCAGGAAGAGCGTTATCTAAAAATGTATGTTAAAATACTGAATATTTTAAGAAGATCATCAATTCAGGCTAGCCATCACTAAACCTCATTACTCCATAATTCAGCTATATAATATAGTGTCACTCTTTTTATATATGAAAGTACTCCATAATCCTCAAATGTATCAGTACTATGCCAAAAATACTTTTGATGCATTAAAGCTCAATTCTATTTTGGAAATGAAGTCCAGAGGTTATTCAGGGGCAGAAACTATACCTGTGGAATGCGGGACGTCCTGTGACAGAGTTTGCTATCTGTCTGTGTGGATTTTCCTGCAGCTTTCTACAAAAATAACCACACTAGGTTTGACAGAGTGAGACAAAACCAACTATTATTTAGAAAAAAGCTGAGATCTATACAGTACAATGTTATGTGGATACTGGAGAGTCATTTTAAATGTGTCTGGAAAATGAGTTAGAGTTGATGTGTTTTTAATATGTAGGTGACTGACTTTTTTAGATTCTAATTTGAGGTTAGATTTTGCTGTTCCTTGTTTTAAAAAAATGAACTCTGAAAGGGCAAGAGCAGCACACCCATGATATCTTGGTTTACTGTTTGGTCAAAGTTTTTTAATATTTTAAAATGAAGTCTTATGCTCAACAAGGCTGCATTCATTTGATTAAAATACAGTAAAACGGTAATATTATGAAATGTGATTACAATAAAAAAAAAACGGTTGTCTATTTTTTAATAGTTTTTATTTATTCCTTTGATGGCAAAGCTGAATTTTCAGTGTCACATGATCCTTCAGAAATCTTTTCAAAAATGGAGATTTGCTGCTCACATTTCTTATTATTATCAATGTTGAAAATATTAAGTGTTGCTTAATATATTTGTGGAAAACTTTCAGGATTCTTTGATGAACAGAAATTTCAAAAGCACCACAATTATTTTACAAATCATTTGTAACAATGTACAAGTTTTACTGTCACATTTAATCAATTCAATGCATAGTTGCTGAATAAAAGTAGTGTATATACAAAAATTCTAAATCAGTTTTTTGCAGCAAAAATCTAAACACACTTAAAACAGGGTATTTGGTTTTAAGAATGTTTAGATAAAACAACAAAAATACTGACCAATAAAATGATTTTTGTAGTTAACAGAGAGGATAGGAGAAGGATGAGATGCTTTCTGTCTGTAGACCTATTTTTCTGACTAATGGTGGTTTAGTCTAATGGTGGTACAGGGACAATGGGATTAGAATATACGGACTAGACCTAGTTAGAATTTTAGAGGGATCGTTTTCTGTCCTTCTTACTTTAGCCATGTGGGAACCGTTGAGATTCCAGCGGCGTGGGCTGGGCTTCTTGAGGCGAGACTGTGAAGCGTGCAAGACAACATCATGAGAATGGAGCGGGAAGAATATAAGGCGTCGTGTTAGGGGTTGTAGTATGTATGTGTGCATGTTTGTGTATACCAGATTAGTCTGTTCATTCCATTTCCTGTACAAATGCTGAGACTGTGGTGACAGTCGCTCATCCAACATGACTGAAAGCAGATCTGAGCTAAGCTTTATGTGAAGCCACGCCAGCGGCCTCAGACCAGGCATACAGGTGATCCGTATGCTCACTGTATTCCAATGAGTTAGTGTAAATTAGTAACAAATCGAAACCAGGAACCAGCATGAATGTGACAAGGAATTCAGCTTACAATGTTTTGCTTAGGAAAAGCATATAAATGATGAAATCTACAAATCATTCAGATTTGAAGTAATAATACATAGTTTAAATACAGCATTAATTTCCAAGTCACATTGACCTTTGTTTCTATGGATCTCCTGTCCAGGCGAACATGCGGGATTGTCACAAAGCCCTGGGAGAAACACACCTCTTTTTGTGCAAAAGGGTGCTGGATTGGGAAAAAGGAGCACCAATCGAGGGACAGGAGCTGGGTTAGAGAACCGAGGGGGGGTGAGATGTCACGTCCACAGTATGGTGAGGTAGTTTATGGGTAGGTACTCACACTCATACCCAAGGGTGCAGTCAGGGGGCTCAGTTCAGGGAGTATATTGCATACACACACACACACACACACACGTGCTTGCACACACACACGCGCGCGCTCACACACACAGGCACGGGCTGGTTCAGCGCAATACCTGAGGGGACACAGTGGACAAAGTAGGGCTCTGAGAGATGCTTTTGGCTACCTGTAGAGCCTCTATCCTCAGGGCTGCGAGCACCAGCTCCTCCTGGGCCACAAGGGAGGGTGGGGGGAGGAAAGGGGGAGTGACCCATGGAGTGGGGGCAGGGGTAAGGAGGAGAAGAGGGGTTAGAGTTGTACTAGCCTCACTCAAATACTAAACCTGAAGGGGGAAAACATACATATACTGTACATACACACAGACACACATTTTACTATGAACATTGTGGATGTGGTGAGATCCATCCATCCTTTCCAAGTTTATTTCAAGTGTGTATTTTTAAAGGGATAGTTCACCCAAAATAAACACAAAAGCTATTTAGCAGAATGTCTGAAGAGCTGCTCTCTTCCATATAATCATAGCGAATGGGCACCAGAGGCTTCAAGCGGCATAAACAAAAACCATAACAGCAACAAAACGGTAGTCTATATGACTTATCATATTACTTAAGAAGACTTGAAGGTTTTTTTAAACGTTTTTTGAAAGTCTCTTATGCTTACCAAGGCAGCGTTTATTTGACCGAAAAATACAGTAAAAACTGTAATATTGTGAAATATTAATACAATTTAAAATAAATATTTTCTATTTTTATATATTTAAAATGTAATTTGTTCCTGTGATGGAAAAACTGACTAGTCAGCAGTCATTACTCTAGTATTCAGTGTCACATAATCCTTCAGAAATCATTCTAAATCAGAATCTGATTTGGTATTCAACAAACATTTCTTCTTCTTATATTATTATAATATTCTTATATAGTATTTTTGTTGAAACCATGATACTTTTTTTTTATGAATGGCAAGTTTAAATAAAGCAATTATAAAATAGAATTTTTTTTTTGTAATGATGTAAAAGTATTTACTGTCACATTTTATAAATGTAATGCATCTTTGCTGAATAAAAGTAATTTATTTAAAATAAAAATCATACTGACCCAAACTTTTGAACAGTAGTGTACTTTATGGTCCATTTTTAACATTTTGGAGCTTAACAGCCCCAGTTCCCATTTACATAAGAAAGTAAGGCCCTGTTTACACTTGTTATTAAGATGCGTTTTGGGCGATCGGATCACAAGTAGACGAGGGAGACACATACCCGTTTACACCTGGTGTTTCGTCTCTTTTGTCCACTTTCAACCACTTCTGTCCTGATTTCTTTGAGAGGAGTGTCTATGGGCGGGTAAATGTATGGCCTTATTTAGATCTTTCAATCTATTAGAAAAAATAAGCTCATGCAATTTACATATGAACACGTCCGGAGACGACAGAAAAACACACTGAGAGCTGCAGCTTTCGTTTCTCCGCTGACAGCCGCAAGACCACACCGAACGCCATGAGTGAGTGTTAGACACCAGGAATGGTGAGAGAATATTTTGTGCTTGGTACGTTTTTCATCTTCAAAACAAACTTGAGTCTCCAGCCAACAAATTTTAAATCCTAGAATTTTATGGCTAGCGCGCTTCCCATAATATTTGCGCATTAGAGGTTAGGGTTAGTATGCGGAGAGCTGAGGGTCTTTTGTGGCAATTCAAACACATTCAACCACATGAGCGTTAACGCTATGAAAGCAATCCAGTCGAATGCGACCTACCTCTGGAAGTGGTCGAAAGTGGACAAGCTAAAAAAGTTTTAGACCCCGTTTACACCTGTATTTAGCGTCGTCCACTTGTGATCTGATCGACCAAAACGCATCTTAATACCAGGTGTAAACAGGGCTTAAGTAATACAGGTTTGGAACAACATGAGGATGAATAAACATGAATTTTTGGTTGAACTATTCCTTTAACAATTCCTGACCCCAGCACTAGGGGCAGACAAGGTACATGAAAAACTGGAGGGACAAACAAACACAGTGAAACAAAGCTGAGTGAGGACACACACACACACATAGAAGCAAAGGCCCAGGGGAGAAGAGGTAGTGGGCACAGGTAGGCTTCTCTCTACACACCTGCAGTTTTTGAGCGAAGGCAGTGGGGTTGGTCTCTGCCAGATCAGGCTCCAGGTAGCTGAGAGGGGTGGGTGAATCAGACAGCCTGTCTAAGAGGGGCAGATCTGAGGGGTCCATGGGGCCCTGGATGGGGGACTGCATTGGGAGTGAGAGCAGAAGAGGGACAAGAGGAGTAGGAGGTGCCTGGGTGTCAGTGAGGCAGTGCAAGTTTGTATTTAGCCTAGTGCATCATAACACATCTATGATGGGTTTATGAAGCCTATGAATAAACAATATGCAGTACTGATCCAGGGGGGGAGATCCTGATTAATATAAGAAACATGCTTAGCAAAATAATGTTGTCTTAAAGGGATAGTTCACACAAAAAAAAGTTTGGCCATTATTTACTATTGTTCTAAATGGAAAACAAATTATTATATAGTAAAGAGGACAGTGTACATTCTTCACATAATTGTCTCCTCTTGTGTTCTACTGAAAAAAATAACAGCATACGAGTTTGGAAACGAGGTTGAGTAAATAATGTAAGAATTGGTTTATTCCTTTATAAAGGATGCACTGTCCCTTTAAGACTGAAAAGAAATAAAATAAAAATAAACCCATCTTCACACATTTGTGGTGTAATTCATGCATTTTGATTGTAAGAATACACATTATCTGAACTAATGAAATAAACACACTCTTGAAGGTGCAGATTTTATTTTTCAGTGCTTGACTGGTTTACACTTACCACTCCATCTCTCTCGTTGCTCTGCGTTCGACTCTGAGACTGACTGTCCCTCTTTCTGCTTTTCTCTGAGGCCATGGGGTCACGAGCGCCACGAGGTGGCAGCACAGGTGATTTCCCCTGCGAGATCTGAGCCTCCATCTCCTCAAAGCTCCTGTAAAGTGTCAGACCAATACAATTAAACACATGAAATACAGTCAAAGAGGACACATTGTTCTCACCCCATGAGAATTGAGTTTTGTGGCTCTCAGTTTATGGATGATGGTGGTGTAGTCTACGTGATACGCAAGTATACGCCGTATACCCACTAGAAAATGTCAAGGATTTCCGTATACCCACTAGGAAAGGCCAAGGATCTCCGTATACCCACTTAAAAAAGCGCGAGTATTCGTAACAACATCGTTTTGTGACAGAACTTTCATTCATAAATTCACCCCGCCGTCTGTGTTTGCGCAGCCGATCGAATCGCGGAATCCAGTCACAAATGTAACTTAGCCTACTGTAAAGCGGAATGTTATGGAATTTTTCTCTTATTGCTCTGATTTCAGTGATTCCTAATGATGGCCTCTTCTGTTCTCACGAATGTAGTGAGAGGGGGCCTTTGGGTGATAATTTACTGTGGTTGGGAGTCAGTGGAGGTAAGGAAAAGCAGGTGGTCAAGGGGTCATCTTGAGCATTTGTACTTTATAGCCTAAAGGGTTAAGGGGGCATTTACCTCTCAGGGCCAGGAAGAAATAGAAAAAAACAAAGTATATCTCTCCTGTGAGGGGAGGGCAGAAATAAGGCCTTGGAGGACACAAGATATAAAAAAGACAGACACTGCTTCTCTTTATCTCTCCTCACTGACTCACGGATGTGTATTGGTGACGAAGATCTCTCTTGCAAGAGAATAAATACTTTATAAACTATTAAATTGGACTCAGAGTGTCTCTTACTCAGTGATGATGTTTGTTGGACAGGAAAAAGCCACAACAGGAATTTGGCCATTTTTGAAAGAATAAATCAAAAGTAGGGATGTACAACGAATCAAATAATAATAAGTAATATCACAGTATACTCACTACAAAAAACTAGACTACACCACTGGATGGCTTTAAGGGCATCTATATGAAAGTGCACTTGTAAAAACTGACAAACTTCACCTTTAGCAAAAACAGAGATAAATATAAATGGCTGTGACTTTTTGCCAACAAAATGGTGCAGTTGTCATCTAACAGCAGATGCTAACTTCCTGTTTGAATAGAAAATATGTCAACACAGAAAAGAAAACTATGCCTATCAAGTCATTCATTGCATATTTTAAGTAATATATGATTGTGTGTGTGTCCTGGTTATGGCAATGTCCAAAATCCTTTTTTGGGGAAATGTTAGGGGATAGAATATACACTTTGTACTGTATAAAAATAATTATCTCAATAGAATGTCCCCATAAAACATGAAAACCCAAAGTGTGTGTGTCTGTGTGTGTCTGTGTGTGTCTGCGTGCGTTTAGTTTACCCGGTGCAGGGGGAGTTGGGCTCTGAATCGTGCATGTTGGAGGTCTTCTTTGGACTGTCTGTCACGGAGTCCAGTTTCAGATAAAGTGATGGTTTCTTCACTGAGAGAGGCTGTAAATAAATACATATATGCACTCACATAAATACAAAGGTCTGACTGTAATCTAACATTATTTTGGTGTTTGTCACACACACTTGTTTTTTTGGCAACTGCCCCAAGTTTAGTACATCTATAGGTCAGGTAGATACTCACAGGTGCAGAGGAGCCAATCTTTTCCATGTATTCAATCTCATAGTCTGTAACTGCAGAGAAGGGAAAACGAGTCATATATAACAGGTTCAATGTTTTATAAAGATTATATTAGGAATTGAAAATAATATAAGGCTTCCAAAGAATATTCTTTCTATGTTGATCATCAGTTAACAGACTGACAGAACCAACATGAGAGTGGCACTATAATTCATCTGCTTCTGTACCAATGACCCAGTTATATTCAGGCAGAGTGCCTCAGGGCCCAAATGGTTCCCTATAGGTCAAAGGCTAATAAAACGGGTCAGTGTGTGGTCATTTGGGGTTCCAGCCAAACTTGGATCACGTGGAAAATAATCTGATGGGTGAATATCACAAAAACATTTTACCCCAAAATCAAAAGAAAATAAATACTTTTGACATTTTTAGGACCATTTTTATTATTTTGCATTTTGACATTGTTTTTGAAATTGAAAACATTTTCCCACCAAATTCTCATTAGTACAATGTAACCAGACATTTTCAATGTTAATTCTTATTAAATTGTCATTTCTGCAATACAGTAGTTTATTACTGTAATAAAATTATTTAAAATTATTATATTATAAAAGGCTTCGCGTCGTGGCCACATTACCACCTTGGTTGTGCATTATTTTTCTAATAATTCACATTATAAACATACTCTGTCTGTGTGTGTGTGTGTGTGTGTGTGTGTGTGTGTGTGTGTGTGTGTGTGTGTGTGTGTGTGTGTGTGTGTGTGTGTGTGTGTGTGTGTGTGTGTGTGTGTGTGTGTGTGTGTGTAAAGAATTGGGATGTCACTATGCAAAAAAAATCTTTGAGCATAATATAATTGATAATAATAAACTTAATATAATTGATAAAATAAAATAAAATAAAAAAACTTGATGTTTACTCTGAAATCAATACTGTACTGACAGTCTCATTCTTACTCTTTAAAAATATCTATGTAAAGTAATGTAGGACCATGGACACAATCCTTGACTCATGATTAGAAATAAAGTAGTGACTCTTCCCCTCTCTCACCGTCACTCGGTGCAGGCAAACTGTTCTCGTTGACAAAAGCTGTGAAGTCTGTTGGCTGCGGGAAGTCTTGGAGGTCAGAGGTCAGCTCCACCTCTACATCATGTCTAGTCCATTTCTGATTGGTGGAGGAAGCCAGTTTCTCCTCATCTGTGGCGTGATCTTGTGAAGGGTCAGGATTGGCATTGGGCGAGTGCTCCTGCGGGTGATGATGTGTGTGTGAAGTGGAGGGCGAGAGTGGAGAACACACAGGACAACACTGTTATGATATGAGGTGACAGCAAAAAAAGAAACAGATAATCTTCAGACTGTATGACTGTACTGTAGGTGAATGTGCGCTCATGTCTTAACTTACTTGTGCAGATGGCTCGGTAATCTGAGTCCTCTTTGGAGACTTCTTCACTCTGAAAGTACTACTGTTTAAGAAAACAAGACAGAAGTAATGTTGTTAGTTTTTAAAATATCAATTTGGAATAAAAGACATAATTTTTCATGTGTCCATTTACTGTGTCCTGTCCAACCAATCAGAATATGAATCTTTTAAAAACCAAACTGTGTGCACACCAACCAACCTATGTATTAAACACAGCAGTTTTTAGTTTTTTTTTTTTAAAGACAGGAAGACACTGTACAGATAACGTTCTATTGAGTAAAAGTTTTAGTTAAATAATACATACCTGTTGTGTTGTTCTGATAAATGTTTTAGAAAACCTTTTGACAATGCAAGTATACTGTAATTCAACCAGTAAATGATGGTGCTTATTATTAAGGATTAAATCTCATCAGTTAAGATCTTACGAGTGCACAATGAAATGGATTATTCAGGGCTTACATTATGATTTACTCTTCTATTAGTGTTGTATATGAATGTTATATTAGCTTCTTTTTTTTGTGAATTGTGTTTTTAATAGTAAACGTTCTCCTTTGCTATAATGCCATTTTTATGCCATGTTTTTTTTCTACTCACAAATTGAACCATGGCAGGAAATTAAAGACATATAGCTATTAGTGATGAATTGGAAATATGTCTTGCAGAAGCATGATGATTATGCAGTAAAAATGTGTGCTTTTGAATTAGGAAATAGATACAAAAATAGATACTCTGCCTTAACACATTCACAGCTAATACTAATCCCTGTTGCCCCTGATAAATTGCTCAATGACCTTAGAAAATGACACATGTAACAAGTTAACAGACTTATATCAGATCCTATTATGTTGCTGTTGTTGACCTTGTTCCCATTTCAAAGTGTAACTGTGATGTAAATATTTAATTTCAGCAGTATTGTTGAAACTCAACCTGTAAAATCTGAAAAGACATCTGTGTTGAAAAACAAAGTTGAAAACAACCTTGAATTGTGTGAGAACTACGGAGGGAAAGTCTGCAGCTGAGAAATATATATTAGATGAATTAATCTGAAACTTAAAACTGCTCCCAAATAGCTGCATTAATGAATCGGGGTGTGCAGCGGGTCTTACACAAGAAAAGAATGTCTCGCTCAAGTGCGCAAAAAAAGATTCACTTGTCAACTTTTCAGGTCAAAGTTTCTGCTTACACGTAATAAAACCTGCAATGTTTATTTTCCACCAGTGTGTTAACCACTACTAAGGAGGGAAGCTCTCTGAAGGATAAAAATCTCTGAATTGAGTCTCTGTCTGGATAAGGAATTCGTTCAGAGATTAAGAGATAAGATGTCAGCCTTCACATCTAATTCATTGGAAGAAGTGTAGTCAACAAAGCTCAAATTGGATCACGTGTACATTGTAAGCAAAATCAGACAATGTTTTCTAGACTAAGTGTTCTGGCCTTGTGCACATTTGCACATCAGAACTTGTCCTCTGCCCATGTTCCTGGAATCGACTGCACTTATTGGGGGGGTCCACTAGATGGCAACACGTTCTCATTGGATAATATCAGGCATGGAGCAGAGGAAGGACTGACTAAGAATGATGTGAAATCAGTCGTATGTATCGAAATGAATGATTAAAACAAAACATTAAAATTGATGGTGAGCTCATGAGTTAAAACATGTTAAAATGACATTTTATGTTAATCTATATTATTACTAGGGGTGTAACGGTACACAAAAATCACGGTTCGGTACGTACCTCGGTTTTAAAGTCACGGTTCGGTACGTTTTCGATACAGCAAAAAGAAAGAAATGCCAGAGAAATTTCTTATTTGTTAAAAGAAAAAATATTTTTAAATAACTGAGTTTTCCTACATCTTGAAACTTTCAGGTTTATAAATGGGGGTAATCTTTGAAGGATGAACAAATAATGTTTTGGTCATCACATTAAAAATAACATTTAAATATATATATATTTATTTATATTTTATTTGAGTTTTGAAGAGCTGGAAAAAGATGTGTGAAGTACTTGAAAGCATTTCACTATTCCAGCCACACTGGTTACAGTTAGTGTTACTATATTAAATCCATGGTGAATGTTGCTGGTCTGTGGACGTAAAGTATTACTAGTTCATTCACGGCACAATGTTTCTCCTGGTGTCCACGTCAGCGCTGTTTGATCTAATAGAGATCTACGGTTAATAACGGAGAAATGTGAATGCTTCTCACTAGATCTCGCAGCGATGTTATTATTTCAGTGGCGAATTCAAATGTTTTCTTTACTGGATCTTAGCGCTGTGTTGTAACAGTGTCGCTTGATCGAGATCGGCTCGCGCTGCACATATGCTGCTGGTCAAACGATCCGTGAAGCACAATATAATGAGTAGCGCAGTTTCGTTCCGCTTTCATTACGTTTGCCATTTGATGTTGCGCAACGTTGTGGTGATCGCGCCAGCGCGAATTTTGTCGGCAAGAAAAATGGTCCAAGGAATCGTTCGGTTTGTATGCGTACCGAACCGGAAGCCTCGAACCGAAACGGTTCAATACGAATACATGTACCGTTACACCCCTAATTATTACTGATGTTGATTTTGCTACATCTCTCTACTTACACGAAACAACACAGAGAAGAGACATTGCTGGACTTCCTGTGATACATGAGATCAACAGACAGACATGTGACAGAGGCTGACAAACAACAAGTACTAACACCCACTCGTCCACTCACATACACACATGTTCAGAAATTTTACTAGAAAATTAACTAGAACTTACTGGTCTACACTGGATGAATGGCACACATTATGACCTAATTTGAAATGAAAATGGATTCATTAAAAGTGCAGACTTACGATTTAAGAGGCTTCTTTTTGTTTTTGGCAGGTTTGTTTTGGTTGTGATCCTCTAACTCAACAATGTTATCATTCTCATTCTCATTGTTGGACTGGTCAAAAGAGGCAGCTTTCGTTGGGGGGTTCCCCATATTGTTAGATGATTTGAAGGGATCGATTGAATCATCAAAGGAATCAGTATCAAAGCTGTAGGATCCTTTAGACAGATGAGGAGAGTTCGGGACACCACTGCTTGAAGAAAATGGATTAAAGTTAGGGTCATCCCACTTGCTGGGGTCAAAGTTATATGATGCCTTAGGGATTGGGATATCATCATTGTCATTTGAAAGTGCTGGAATAGGTGAATTGTCTAGCTGTTCAGTCTGGGGAGGAGGGGCCTTCTTAATCCCCAGTTTTGGCTTTCGGATGGGCATCTTGGCACCTAGTTTCTTGCCCAGGATTTTAGGAGGAGGAGCACTGCGTGACGCCTCTCCACTGTCCTCTGAATAGTCAAACTCCAGTCTGACTGGTAGACGCTTGGCGATTGGTTGTTCCTCAATGTTTAAGGGTTGCTCTTTAGCAGGGGAAGGGGCACAGGGCTCCTCTACAGCAACAGGGGTGCCTGAAACCAATGTAAAGTCAGCTTTCCTGCCTAAGACCGGCGAGTTTGCCACTTTACTGCCTCCTGTATGGAATGGGTCAATGTTCTCAAAGTTGTCCGGATCCCATTTGTAGGAGGCACTGGGAGGGATAGGAGACTCCTCGTCTGGGACAGTTGGAGCCTCTGGTACTGGATCAGGAAGCTCCGGCTGGAGTTGAGTTGATATTGAGGCGTTAGTGATCTCTTCAGCCAAAGGCGGAGGACTCTCAACTCGAGACTTTATTCTGTTTCTCCGTAGGGTACCAGCAGGACTAGGACTAGGGCTGGGAGAAGAACTAGGCCGCTCTTGGGTTTGCAAAGGGCTTTCAGGATGGGGTTTCCCTCTCTTTTTCTCTTCTGGTGTGCTGCTAGAGGACACAGTTTTAGGGGAGGAATGCTCTGGGTTTGAGTTCTGCCTGGAAAGAGGCTTCTTCTTTAGTGATCCTGGGCGGGGCTTCTTCACTCTACGAAGGGTTCCCGGAGCGCTCTCTGTTCCTATACTGAAGGACTCTGTTCGTGGGTGAATGGGTTTGTCGGAGGTTCCTCCTGAGGATTTGTCTCCTGGGCTCTCTAACTCACCAGACTGTAGGCTTAGAGAGCGGGTGAGAGGCGCTCGGCTTGATGGTCCAGACCCAAAATTTGATTCTGGCAAGGGGTCATTAGCGATTAAGTGCTCTAGGTTGTAGGCACCGCTAGCAGCTATTGGTTTGTCCTCATCAAAGACTGTAGATTGAGAGCGACTGGCAGGTTTAAGTTCTGGGTCTTGATCTTCACTGGCAGAGATGTCAGCAGTGGAAGCTGTGAAGATGGAGAATGACATGTTACTATTTAAAAAAATTGATTTGAAGCACATCACAGAATAGTACTCACAGATGTATTGATATTATTTTTAAGTTAAAGAGCTGAAGAATGCAGAAGTAGAGTACAAAAGAAGTTTGATTGTTAGTTTTTTTTTTTTTTTTTTAGGTATTTTTTGAAAATACCTTCAACAGCAATACACTGCATTTCCATTAGAGGGAGTACGAGTGCAGTGCTTGATAACAAGAACTACAATACTCCAAGTCAGAGATTAATGGAAAAAAAAAAGGCATTTTGTTTCTTGATTTAAAAAAATTTGGAAAATAAATCTGAGCAAGAAAAAAAACCATGAAAACACTGGGAAAATAAACTGAATTGAAGCAATGAATATAGAATAAAAATTTAATTGGACCTCAAACTGACATCAAAAATTAGCATATAAAATATTCAAGATCTAGTTTATATTTCTAGCTATAGTTACTTAGATAATGTGTTTTCCATAACATTTCTTGGGTTCCAAAGTTAAGAATCGTATATTATGTTGTTCTACACTCTCTGCTAATTAATACTGTCCTTTTTAATTTATATAAAAAAATTACAAAATTTGTTCAAAACAAGAAACAAACTATAGTTTCAATGTCCTACAATGTAAGCCTCGCCTTAAGCATTTAATTGCCAAATAAACCCTGCTGAAGCTATTCAGACAATAAATGAAACTATTTGACTCGATCATTGTAGTGTGAATTGTGATGTAATGAAGATCTTAAATGTACCTGTGTGTTCTGGGGACAATGCCTCTGAGCTGGTGCAGGGGTGTTCTGCTGGGGGCAGTGGTGGGGAAGCGGACTTCACAGGAGTGGTGGACTCAGGGGTTTCGAACGCTCCGTCTGAGTCTGAGCTCCTGCACAAGAGACAACGAGACAGAAGAGAGTCTGAATATATTGAATTAAGAGTTGATATAATAATCTTGTAGTATAAACATCAGGTCTGTTTTGTTTCCATACAAAGAAGTTGCATATCCAATCCAGCACTGATACAGCAAACAAGCAACATCCATTTACGAGGCAACGTAACACAGCTTAAACTTACATTACAGGATCAAATACATTCAGATACACCTGTGTATTAAACAATCAATCATTGTGTGCCAAACCTTGTAAACAAACGCCTGCCTCAGCATATGTCTAGTAGGCCCTGGTAGATTATTACAGATGGAAATCTGAACCTGAAGCTTGGAGACCAATAACAGCAGCTCAAACACAAATTACACTCAGCCATGGTGGCCATTTTCTCTCTCATTCACTAGATTCACTCATTATATGATTTTAACCTACTAAGTATCACAGTGAAGGTGTTATTTTCAAATTAACACATTTCATTGCCATTTCAGTAAAGACTAACGATTGCTTATTTAGTCAATGCAACAAAATGTCGGTTTGTGAACGTTTTTGGTCTTGGCATCAGTGTATAATACACAAATGTGACATAGTATGTGATGGCATAGGTGAACACATCGGTACAACCAAATCAACAGTCCAAATACGGCAACAAAGGCGCAGCCTCAGACAGATGTGCAGACCCCCACCCAGTCTCACCGCAGTAGTCCCTGTCCTCTCCCTGCTGTTACCCCACGCTCACCTCTGCCTGCCGTGGATCATGTAATCGTGTCTGGAGGTCCAGCTGAGGCGCCGGAGGAGCCCTAGGGCTGGGTCTGCCTCATCCTCTCCGGATGTCCCTCCCAGCAGCGTGTCCCAGCCCCAGCGAGCCCACTGCAGCGGAGACAGAGCCTGCCATGCGCTCACTGCCATATCTGCCACCGATCACAGGCTCACGGTCACTCTCACACGTTCCTCATACCTAATGCCGATTCCGAAAATCTGCCGCACCACCGTTCTATGGCTTTGTGTGCTATGTTCCCTTCTCCCTTTTACCCATCCCTCCCTTTTTTTATATTGTATGTTCTCTTTCTCCAGTATCTTGCTGAAGGTGGGCTTTATCCAAATGAAAACCGTTGCAGATACTCGCCACTTGCAGACTCACTACTTGGCTGTCTCTCTCTCTCTCTCTCTCTCTCTCTCTCTCTCCTCAGATCCTCAGACACGGTCTCCCTCCCCCACGTTTAGGAGAGAAGCAGACTTCTCACTCTGGCTCCTGTAGTATAAAGTAAAAACTGTTTTTCTTTATACTATATCCTGATAATTTTTCATTATTCCAAATTTCTTTTTCTTTCTTTCTACTACCCGAGCTGAAATTCCCAGTCAGTCTCTCCTACTCTACTGTACACTCAGAGAGAGCAAAAACAGGGGTTTTCTCTCAATTCTATGATTGGTTTCTCTGTCTGTACTGATATGCCCTATTAGTATCCACAGCAAAGACTTTGGCTGCAGTCATACACTCAGTTTTGCTGCATCAAACACTGATGAATGTATTGACGCCTTTACTTCAGTGCAGTGAACACACCCATTCCCTGCTGAAAAGACCAACACGTGTTTTGGATGCTGGTCCATGGGAAGCTAATCAGAGATCTTAACCAGCAAGACCAGCAGCAAATCAGCATAACTTAGCCTAGACCAACATGGAAATTTTCTTTCTTTTCAGTAGGAGTATTTCTGCATCTGACAAGAACCAGTGCATTCTTACAAACATGAATCACATTTGAGCATGTCAAAATGGTAGTGGTCTTCCACGGTGCTAAATCATATTTTTACGTGCATCTTCACAATAATTTTAGAGTAAATTTAAATTACAACACATGCAAAATATTAGACCACATATGTCCTCTAATGTGACATTTGGATCCAAATTCGAATGATACGCATCCAGCAGTTTATTAGCAAAATAAGAGATTTACTCTTCCTCAGAAGAATGACTGTAAAGGACTCATTCCTTTTCCCTGATCTGATCAGTAAACACAATGTCAACAAAAGAGGATGACACGTCTATCCTGATCATATAATTTAATGCTCAAACACACACCCAAGAACTACAAAAAACTACTCATTCGGACTACAACGAGTTTTTTCCGGATCTTGTGAAGTCATAATGTTACTCATTTAAATAAATCCGCCCACGGAATACGCAAAAAAAGGGGTCGAGGCCTGGTTGAGCTGCATTAGAGAAGAGACAGTGTTGTCGTCAAAGAGACACTGTTTTTTTCAGCTAACCAATCACAGGACATTTCGTACGTTCAGGCCAAACTGGGGAGAGATGTGCTGTAATACTGTAAAATATGTGAAAATAATGTTTTTTAAACAATCAAGCATGAAAACAATCTAGTACACCCCAAAAACTGAATCAAGACTTCGTAAAAGGGCATATTAGGACTCCTTTAATATTCATCTAAGTACATATCAAAACCAAAATGATTGCAATGTGTAATACTCTAATTTGATAAAGACAGAGAATTAGAGCAATACAAAAAGTACACTTCTTACAAGTGTTGCAATGTAAAGTTTAGATTATAATATAGATTTGTATTCAAAGATAATATCATTAATATGACATTCAATATCATTCAAAGACATGTGTGTGCATATTAAGTGCATTTTAAGTCTTCCTGTCTAATTTTGCAGCTTTCAGTGTTAATGACATTCGACGAGATAAGTATCAGTTAATGAGCATTTCAGCCCATGTAGTGATGTTTCCACATATCTGGCAAGCACACTGTTGCCATGGTGACGGTGCTCTCTAGACATATGCTCCCATGTGCTAGACAACGCGCACACTGGCAACTTCCATAAAATCCTGGACGAAGCCTCAAATTTCCTTCTCTTTCGCATAGATCCACACATGCACAGGAAGTCTATTAGAGCATATACAACCCATTTATTTCCTGGTATGGGAAAATAAAACACTGATTTATTTCTGAAACGTCTGCTGGGGTGGAATTAGATGGAGCACTGTATCATCAAGCTTATGTTCCTCTCGGGGGCTTTAAAAAAAAAGGGGTTTTCCACATCCTACTTGAAACTCTCCTCTAGATGATGGGGAAAAAATCTATTATAATAATATATATATATATATATATATATATATATATATATATATATATATATATATATATACATACACACAGTATTAATACATACAGTGTATATAATATATATATATATATATATATATATATATATATATATATATATAAATCCCTGTTTAATTAGTAAATCTTGTTGAACATTTTTATTAACGCCACTCAGACAGGAGCACAGTAAATACAGTAAGTTAAGATAATCAAAATCTGCAAATCTTCAGTACCAAATATCTACTAAACAGGTAAACATCTGCAATAACCATTATAGGTCTGAATATAAAATGAAAAGCTAAAGGAAACAGAAGAGGCAAGTCATTTCAGGTGAGTTTATCTGCTTGGAGACGGTCAGGCTTGTCTGGCACAGAACAGCACTGCTGGGTTCAGCAACAGACACTGCTGTGAGCACGACAACCCACAATGCTGTTCAAACAAAGCAAACCTGAACAAAAGGACAGCTATAGTGTGACAGAGAGGAGAGTAATCAAGAAATTGCTCTATACAAACAACTGCTAAAAGATATTTACACATAGGCCTGCATTAAATCATACTATGTGCATCTAAAATCCACATTATAAACATAACCATAATTAAAATGATCTTGGGAAGAAAAGAAAATAATCTAGGCTACTGGTTAAAAAAAGATTGTGATGTGCTCATTTTTATACCAGAGGGTACAACATGTACTAGAGATTGAGGTATTGACACAGGTTGACCAAAAGAGGGAGACAAATGAAACGGTAATAGAGGGAGAGCAAGACTGGCTGTGCTCCAAATAGACTACTAGCACACTGTCACTGTGTGCTGGTGTGTACATGCTATCCCGAACATAGACCCTGTTTCCAACCCGTCCCTTCAGTAAACTTCAATATATTTTCTTTCAAAGTCAGGAATGTATATCTACATATCTCAAAATTACCAATGGCTATAACAGTGTTTTACGAGTAGATCCCTCCTTTCTTTGGCAGTTCAACACCTAGAATTTATTCATCTCTTTATGAACTGATTAAGCATTAAGCAATCCTTGATTCAGTTCCAAATGAGATATGATGCTTAAAGGGATAGTTCACCCATAAATGAAAATTCTGTCATCATTTACTCACCCTCAAGTTGTTTCAAACCTATATTAATTTCTTTCTTCTGCTGAACACAAAAGAAGATATTTTAAATAATATGGGTAACCAAACAGTTGATGGGCCCCATTGACTTCCATATTCCATAGTTCCATTGTGTTTAGCAGAAGAAAGAATTTCATTCGGGTTTGGGAGAGTAAATGATGACGGTTTTCATTTTTGGGTGAACTATAAGCCTATATTAGATATTAGTTATGATTCATATTTCAAATCAGAAATCCTGCAGTACCATAAAACAGTTCATAAATCTACAGGACCAAGGTTCCTCAGTGGGATGCAGCGATGTACCAGCTTTCACCACCAGAACTATCAAATAATTCAGGCATATTCTCAATATTTTATGTGTTCTAGATCTCCAGCAGCACTGAGCTTATTTCAGGGTTTAAGGAGTGGTGAGAAACAGGGAGAGATAGTACTGGTCATACGCATCACCAAATGGGACGTCTCAAAGCTGAATCACAACTTGCTCATTTTGACACTAGGCCGTCAAAAGACAGGGTGAATTTCTAATGGGCACATGGTGATATCACATACTGTTGGAAGAGAAGGATACATGATCGCCGGATGCCCCTGTGACAGTCCTATTTTAACATGCCATGATACTGCATGGATGACAAGATGATCCTTACACAACAGCACACTCCAGATAACTCGGAAGAGGTGGTTGGCCAATAGTAGAGTACATGCCCAAACTGTCACAGTGTGTGCCAGTCAAACAGTTAAAGTTAAAGCAAGCTACTT